AGTCTTTCAACTTGTCGAACCCTGTCCGCTAATTGGGCCATATCCCTCAAGTATTGTGTATCTAATTTCTTTCGAATGGAGTAGTCTAGGACACCAACAGCCATTTCGACTAACTCATGTTCAGGAACTACTGTGAAACATCTAGACTTCAAGAGTCTGAACCTATTCAGATAATCATCTATGGGTTCAGTAAACTTCCTCTTGACACTGGCTAGCTCTTTCAGACTTATTTTAGATTGTCCCATGTAGAATTGTTCATGAAATAATCTCTCCAAAAGAGTCCAAGTATCTATGGATCCAGGAGGCAATGTGGTGAACCATGTAAAAGTGTTCTTAGTTAGGGAACTTGGGAAATATTTAATCCTAAGGTTCTCATTATTTGCTATGTCTCCTGCTTCGGTCAGATACCTGGCTATGTGTTCGAATGTTGACTCATTAGTGTCTCCAGCGAACTTTGTAAATTTAGGGACCTTATATCCCCTTGGTAAATCAGTGTGCATCACATAATCTACTATGGGAGAGGAATAGTTTGGCCTTCTAATTCCTGTATTGAGACCGTTTTGAGCCATAATCCTTTCTATCATGGTGGTTAAATTATTTTCTGCCAAGATGTTGTCATTTCGAATTCTATGAACGACTTCATCAGCATCTTGGTGTCGACCCACCATGACAACCCCTCTAGGTTGTTCTTCTCGAAACTCTGGGACTTCTAACCTTTTGACCCTTGCCCCCGGTTCTATAACTCCCCTTTGTGGTTCCTCTCGAATCATTGGGGCTTCTTGTCTTTGTGCCCTTGCCCCCAAGTTAACCCCCTCTCTGGTTGGTCTATAGGGTGGGTCGTCAGCAATTTGTTCTATGATGGGTATGTTTGCTCGAACCAACGCCTGATTCTGCCTACGCCTTTCTGGCGGAGCGAAAAAATCTGCTATTCAACTCATGTTGTGCGCGTTTTCTCTGTTGGTTACAGTTACATTTTATACTATTGGGGCAAAGATTTCTTGCATAGTCTGCGCTAACACTCCTATCATATTATGGTTGCTATCATCCATTAATTGTCTAAAAGCCATCTGATTTTCTGTGGTTAAGATAGGCAGTGTATTATGACCTACTGAACCTTGGGTATTTGTCATAAATTGGTTGGCCCCAGATCCGGACCCAAATTGTGGTGACGAATTTGATGTGGAATTGTGCAAACCCGCCATAAAAGATGTTGGCATCCCATAAGAGGGATTTCTGAGTCTATTGCCATCGAAACCGGGTGGTCTAGTTGGTGGTGGGGTGGCGAAATGGGTTTGTGTCCCTGATGGTGGGACAAATCCCGCAAGATAACCAGTGGTCCCTGTATTTCCTAGGGTCAAACTGTTGGTTGTCGTGCCACTTGCTCCATTTATGGTCATACTACTGGTAGAAGATGCAACGGAATGTGCGTTTGTAGGGATCGCGTTAGACGTCCCCGTCGAAACAGACGTATTGGTGCCTGTTCATGTGGGGCATTTTGTTCCCCTTGTTGATTGCTTGGATTAGACATCCTACTACTACGTTTTCTTTTGGGTAAGGGTTGGTTACTATTAATTATTTTACCACTTCTAAGGTTCATATAACAGCGAAATTGATACTCAGAAAAGAACTTACACAGCGAGATTATATCCTAAAACTCTTTACTTTCGACTTTCTTAACAACGCGTCCCACTGGACGTGCCAGTTTGTTCACAGTGATTTCTGGTAAACAACCGCTAGTCTTTCAAACTATCGAATAAACTTAATTACTGTTATTCAATTTCTCTGGTAACTTGCAGGATCGACTAGATTGATCCTATGAGACATAGTTGTTTGGCTAAGTCTAATTGTAAAACTGGTATTCATATTTAGGACTTCTAATTAAAGTGTTTCAAAGACATCCAATCCACTTCGATTACTACACTAAATGATTCAAAGGATAATTTCTATATGGTATAAGGAATGTTCATTAGAAAAGTAAAAAGACTTAAGATTGGGTAAATGGCAGGATTAAGTGAGTGAATGTAAAAGTTGCTGAATGTTTAAAGGATTCGAACATAAGAAAAGCGTTTAAATGCAAAAAGAAATAAATGACTCTGAATGTAGAAGCTCTAATGTAAAGGCATGAACGTAAAAATGTTTGAAGCACAAATGAAATGGAAATGAAAGACAAAACTGGAAAATATAAAGAGTTTTCATTAAATTGTAAATGTTGGTGTTATCATACATACATCTTTCGAGCATTCGTTTCCCTATCCATGCGGTATTTTGAATGTTTACTGAATTTGTACAACAGATATGACACACTGAAATCCTAACACTAAGACCTCTATTTATACTATTTCGACCATAACGGTCTTGCTATCAGAATCTGCCACGTTCGAAGCATGCAGAGCATTACTTCCCTCTAGCCTCCACGCGTCCTCGAACGCTCCAACGCTTATGTATTTGAATTTCAAATATCCCGCTCACGTTTGAATTTCAAACGCCTTGGAACCTTCATTTCAAATTCGTTTCAAAGGTTATTTTCGAAACAACCTTCACAAATATAATCTCATCATTATTTCGAACATTCTTTAGACTTACACTCCATAACTATCATTCGGAACCTTGAACTTTATTATTTCCATTCGAAAAAATAGTCTCTTCCATTCCAAACCATAAAACTTGCTTTATTCAAACAAAGCCCAATCCTTTCATTTCGAATCACAATATCAAAATCTTCAGCCAACACTAGGTCTACCAAGTCTCAATATGTTGGGGTTTTGTGCCATTATTCTGGAAAAACAAAAAATCGTTAATCAAATCATAGGTAAGCGAACGAACAAGAACATTTTTGAAATTTTAAAAAATGGATAAATCCAGACCTTTTTTCGGAGATGCATCTCCAAAACACATCAGAGGGATTTTCGGAGATGTATCTCTGAAAAACCTGCGACTTCCATTGCCCAACTTTCAACCTAACAACACCATTCTTATACCAAAACCCAATTTTTACACATAAAAATGAGCTTTTTACAGCTTGTACATAATCTGAACAACTTAAAAATAGAAATGTAAAGATTAAAATGGATTGAAGAACTTACTCAAATTTGAAGCTTTTAGAGTTGTTGAAATGTGATGAAATTGAGAGTTGAAGTGAGTTGTAACAAGTGCAAGTGAGTACACCAACTTGAATAAGTTTTGAAAGTAGAGATTTTTGGGTGTTTGAGAGTTAGATTTTGGAAGAAATGAGAATAAGGGATGGTTGTTCGTCTTTGTTTCTGTAATATCCTATTTTGGAGATGCATCTCCGAAACACTCATGATTTTGAAAAATAAAAGTGTTTCGGCAATGCATCTCCGAAATAACCACAAAAAAAAATTGTGGTGCGTTCGGAGATGTGTAACTCTGAATTCTGAGAGTAAAAAGAAAATTTCGCCAGAGGTGACTAAGAAGGTGTAAGAGTGGAGAAAGAAATCCTCAAACCAAACACTTCAAAATCACCTTACATATCTAGAATTGATTTTGGATCTTCTAATTGCATGTTTGGATTGGCTTCTACAAGCCCCAAAATTAATTCTAGATATGTAGAATTGATTCTGAGTAATTTTAAGATGTTTAGTTTATCAAAAGTAGAATTGATTTTGTCTCTATAATTGATTCTACTTGAAGCTATAATTGGTACCTTATGTCTCCAGAATTGATTTTGGGTGATGTTTACACTGAAAATTATTGTTCAGCTCACTTTTATATAAATGTATTCAAACATAAATTAATTATGTTAAACTCAATTCTATTAAAATCAATTATATCAAACTCAATTCTCCTAAAATCAATTATGTCCACATCTAGGGATGACAAACTAGCATGTCCACTCCGTTTAGGCCCGCCCCGTTTAGACCCACCCTGCAAAAGCTCGCAAGAAAAATAGAGTGATCATAATTAAAGATGAGAGCCTAAAACCTATGTATGCCCCGCAAAAAAAAAAAGAGTGTGGGGCGGGAAAAGCCCACAGACACTACACATTTCAAGCTTAAAAATACAAAATTTTATATTAATACTTGTGTCCGCAAAAGTCTGCCAAAAAAACGAGACAAGACAGAATGAACACATTAGATGATGATAACTTAAATTATATATCTACTCTACACTAAAGTGTGGACAAAATAAACATGACTAATCAACCGGGTCCGTTTTACCACCTATCTCCATGTCCAATTCAAATATATATATAAAAGTGGAACCAAACGTAGTCTAGCAAAGTAAACTAAGAAAGTAAACATTTAGTCAAGAATAAAGCAAAACTACCTTGACTACATACTACTAGTACAATATTGTCTGTTTGGACATAAATAAATAAATACCAGTAGATACATAAAAATTACTGCTAGAGTTGACCATGAAATACTTTACCTAACCTTTTCACAGGGACTTTTCAGTCATTACAATAAATTACTGTCTCAGCTTTAAAAACAAAATACAAAAAACATAAAAAGCTTCGAACCACAGTCTGTAACACACGCTTATAATTTACCCAGTAATTTGTCAAAACTCGAGCTATGGTCCAAATTAACCTCCGCCACGTGACAACATTTCTCTTCCTAAATTCGTCACCACCCTCCAGGGTCCCTGTCCTATTACTACACTCCTACTTTCCCTCGTCTTCCTCACACGTGCCAAAACAAAAAACTCACACGCTTCCCACTCTCTCACGTGACCCCACTCCCTTTTTCTGTTAAACTCAGTACGTCTTTCGCTTAAATACAACACAACTACCTCCCCCCTATACCTCTCTATTTCTGGCCCAACCTGTTACTCTCTTATTACTCTGAAAAATCTTCGTACGATACAAATTTATTATCCTTTGTTTATTTTCTGCTCCCATAACCTAACCAAGTTCCAATCTCTTCATAAACAGAAACCCTACACTTTCTATAATAATATTTTTATTTTATTTATGGTACTTATTATCCTCGTTTCATTCAAATTTCTATGTTTGAACCCTCTGTTTTCTGTTTACCATGTTAGAAGCTCCTGCACGTGATTCTGAGTTGAGTTTAGAGACTGTGAATTCCACACAGAGAAGTTCAATGAGCAGTGAAAGCATTTGCAGCACAAGTTTCAGTCGTCTTTCATTCGACCTTATTCCCGCCTCGCCTGAGAGTCTCTCCATCAAGCCTCACCGCTCCTCTGATTTCGCTTACTCCGCTATCCGTTCCGCTACATTCCGTCGCAAATCCGCACTCACCTTCCGTGACTTCCACCTCCTCCGTCGTATCGGTGCCGGTGATATCGGCACTGTATACCTCTGCCGCCTCCGAAACGGAAATAACAAATTCGAAAACGAAGAAGCGTCTTGCTTGTACGCGATGAAGGTAGTGGATAAAGAGGTTGTAGCATTGAAGAAGAAAGTACAGAGAGCTGAAATGGAGAGAAAGATTCTCAAGATGCTTGATCATCCTTTTCTACCTACACTCTACGCTGAGTTTGAAGCCTCTCATTTCTCTTGCATTGTAATGGAGTTTTGTTCCGGTGGAGACTTGCATTCTCTACGCCATAAATATCCTAATAACCGTCTTCCTCTTTCTTCCGCAAGGTAATTTTCTCAATACATCCAGATGAATTGAGACGGTACCGTTTTTGTTATCCTATTGTTACAATTACAGTTACTTATCTATTTTGTTCTTGTTTCTTGTTGCTCAGATTTTATGTAGCTGAGGTGTTGGTAGCGTTGGAGTACCTTCACATGCTTGGAATCATTTACAGAGATCTAAAGCCTGAGAATGTGCTAGTCAGATCCGACGGTCACATTATGCTTTCAGATTTTGATCTTTCACTCTGTTCTGATGCGATCCCTGCCGTTGAATCATCAGATTCCTTAGGAGACTCTGCGTTTCCACAAACATTATCCTGCACCCGCACGCGTTCTTTTTCTACTCCATTCACTTGCTTTTCGAACCGGTTGTTCCGTTCGCGTAAGGTTCAAACCATTCAACCGAACCGGCTTTTTGTGGCTGAACCGGTTTCAGCCCGGTCCTGTTCATTTGTTGGAACGCACGAGTATGTCTCACCGGAGGTAGCTTCCGGAAACTCCCACGGAAACGCCGTGGACTGGTGGTCGTTTGGAATATTCATCTACGAGCTCATCTATGGACGAACTCCGTTTGCGGCTCCATCGAACAAGGCTACGCTGCGTAGCATCTTAAAAAAGCCCTTAACCTTTCCCACCGCCACGCCTTCAACCACGCTTGAACGCCACGCGCGAGACTTGATTTCTAGCTTGCTTAACAAGGACCCGGCTCAACGGCTCGGGTCAAGACGCGGCGCAGCTGACGTCAAGAAGCACCCGTTTTTCAAAGGGATTAACTTGGCGCTGATTCGCATGCTGACGCCGCCTGAGGTTCCGGGCTCAAGAAGGCCAAAAACGACGTCGTTGTACCGCGGGAAGGATAGACATAACAGCAACCTTAGTAGTAGTAGACAGGAACCAACGGCGTCGTTTGATGTTTTCTTTTGAAAAAACAATGAACGAAGGATTTAGTGCCACGTCTTCAGTGACGTATTTTGTATATTGGAGCATATGTTTTCAATATGAAAAAACACATAAATATTCACATGAGCATTATTTTGTCTTTTATGCAATTTTAAAAGCTATCTCTATTATTAATATTATTATTGTCTATGAAATCGAGAAGAAAAATAAGTAATAGGACTGTGTTGTCACATTTTTGTTACCCTATTTATGAGTGTATGAACATAGGCATCTATAGGTGCCTTAAATTAAATTTAAAGCTGAGACTGGGTTCTAGCTCTTTCCTCTTTGAAGTACGACTACAAGAGACCAACGTTGAAAACTTACTGGACAATTCTAAATGGAAAAGATTCGATACTTCATTTATTTTTCTCTGCCCTACTCACACTTTTGAGGACTGGCAACATGTATTTTTATGGGTCTATATGTATCAAAAAGTCAATATTACACGCAAATAGAAATTCGTCAACGTAGGAAAATGTAAAATAAACAATGGAAGAATGCGAGGATTGTCGTTGTTTTATTTTTGTGATATTTTACTCCTACCTCAACCAAAAGGATTTGGTTACTGCTCATAATTGCCATGTTTAAAGAAGTATGATAAAACTGTACACCAATTTTTTAACTTGTTTGTGCCTCAATGCAGGGAACAAACAAAAAACAGGCGTTAAGTAACGTGCGGATGATTAAATTTGTGTGTGTGGATGTCGACCATTTATGTATCCTATCATTTGACCTTAGAAATATTAAGGAGTTTTTTTTTTTTTATAAGTTTGTCTCTTGTTAGTAGAGAATCATATATTTTAGACATGATTATTCACGTGGAATACTTTCACGGAGAATATTAATTTTAGGTATTATTCAATAATAATCTTGGCTTGGTATATTCAATCAATAATAATGGAATACTTTCCGTTTAACAATTAGTTATTTTAACTTAAAATTTTGGAAAAATTACTGAGGTTTATTAAAACAACAAAGACACTCTCTAATTTTAAAGCATGTATTAATCTCTTTTGAGATTTACTAAAACAACATCAACATCCTCTTCTAATTTTTAGTAACAACTACCATTTTTATCTATCACTAAAATATTTTATTGATATAAATATAATTAATCTTAGAGGAGGTTAGTGCATATTTTAAAATTAGAGAGGGTGTATGAGTCATTTTACCATAACTCAAATGAGGTTAGTGTAATTATCTCTAAAATTTTAGAATCAATATATTTATATCGACTCAGGATCAATATGTTCGTTAGGAAAATGATAGTCCCTTAGAGAATATTTGGCTAAGTTTAATGAAGTAACTATCAAGGTGGTCATTCTAATTAGGAAATTTCAGAGCTTTTTAGAAAGGTCTCAAGGCAAGACAGTTCAATGAGTTACATGCACAAAAGTTTATAGATTCAATAGAAAATATCGTCAACCGAGAAGCCCCTAGCCAAGAAGAAACAAGGAACTAGAAGATGTCGAGCAAATTCGCCACACACTTAATAACATCGTTGGAGGGTTTGTAGAAAAAGAAGATTCAAGTTCTTCTCAAAGGAGATATGTCAGAAATTTATGCATATTTAGTTACTATCTGGATTGAAGACAACAATTTTGATTGAGATTGGCTTTTCACATCAAGATGATGTAGGAATCTTACCTCACGAAGATGACCCCATGGTCAATCGTGTGTAAATATTTGATTGGGATATCAAAATACTTCTCATCGATCTCGAGAACTCGACTAATGTTATGTATTAGGAGGCATTCAAAAGGTTGCAATTGGACTCGAAACTACTTCAACCTTTCAAAGACTTATTAGTTGAATTTTCAGGTGAGCGGATGCAAGTTTGTGGCCATATCACTTTTCACCTAACAACATCATTAATGATAGACTCACGCTCAATGCATTAGAAGCAGTCTTATCCACCATCTATCTAACAATGCAATATCCTCTTTATAATGGTCAGATATGAGTGATAAAATGAGACTAGAAAGTTGTCGAAAAAGATTATTAAGATAATTTGAAGATTAAGAAGAGATTCGGGGTAACCTCCCCAAAGGCCAACACCCGTAGTATCAACATTTTGGATTTAGATCCGAGAGAGGAGTTCCTAGAGGATGGGCTTATACCTATAGAGTATTTTAAAATTGTACAAATTGATTCCCAAAGCTCCCAAACTACCAAGATTGGAAGATCTTTATCAAAGAGCTAGGAAGACAATTATATATATATATATATATATATATATATATATATATATATATATATATATATATATATATATATATATATATATATATATATATATATATATATATATATATATATATATATATATATATATATATATATATATGATCGTACCTGATCAGAATTGAACCGTCACAGCTGGCTTTGAATGGCGTTCGAAGGAGATGGGGGGGTACCTGCAAGACAGTCTGATGACAAAGTGAGAGGCAGAATGAGCAGGCAAGTAAGTATATAGGTGTGTATGAAATGAATACCTGACCCTCTTGAAATAAAGGATATTATAGCCCCAACGTTGGGCCAAAGTCCCTTTATTGGGCCGATCAAACAAGCCCAACAAAGGGACTGTCAGGTTCTACGTGAATAGTGGGGACCTACACGTGATCCCCTACCTGGATGATACTCTCCGCAGAATAGGGAAGGTAACGACGCGATCTTCTCGGGACCCTGAGGACTTCGAGACATCCGGAGAGGTTGAAAGTCTGCCCTACGAGGAAGGTACTCGAGCAGGGCTTGGATTGGGATATTCCTCGTCTGGGACGTCCCCCGTCGGGGACGCTCTTCGCGGGCACCGACGGGCGCAGTCGTGTTCGACCAGTCACCCATGATCGGGGTGTGCTCGGAGGATCTGATGCTCAACATGGTATGTTGTAAAGCTTGGATTGGACCTCACTGGTGATTGGGCCACGGGCAGGCCCAGTCCAGAACTATATATATATATATATATATATATATATATATATATTTGCTTTGGCACCTCAGATCCGCTTGGAATTGATGAGGTTGTGGTATACATCACCTGCCTTCAAAATAGGGTACAAGCTTTTTATCTAGAAGAAATGCAAGGTAGAAGACGAAAAAATAATCGCTATCACGGAGGATGTTAAGAAATTAAAAAGAGACCACATTCGTTAATGAAATCAAATATCCTTCATGGTTGTCAAACATGGATTTTGTCAAAAAGCCATAAGGAAATGTTGAATGTGCGTATACTTCACTTATCTCAATCAAGCTTGTCCAAAAGATCATTATTTGTTGTCTAACATTGATAAGTTGATCGGTGAATCTTTAGGCTATAGAGTGTTAAACTTTATGGACACATACTTATGTTACAAACAGATTAAAATGAGCCCATATGATGCACCCAAGGTAACATTCATGACTATAATTGTAATTACTATTATAAGATATTGTCTGGCCTAAAAAACACTAGGATAATTTACCTAAGGTTGATGGATATTATGTTTGCCAATCAAATAACCCGCAATTGTGGTCAAGACTTATAAAGAGGAGAACCATTGTGAGGACCTTATCGACATAGTGGTGTGAGTGATAAGGTATAACATGCATTTGGACCCAACCAAATGCTCTTTTTGGGTTCAAGACAAAAAAATGATTGGTTTCAAGCTCACAAGAAGAGGAATTTAGACTAACTATAATAAGTTTTAGGCTATGATTGGCATAAAGAGTCCTAACTCAGTCAAAGAAGTTTAACAATTAATAGGTTGGATTAAACACATTCCCTCTTTTATCTAGAATGTGAATATGTGTTTGTAAATCTAAAGATGTTCCCTCTCACCCCCAGAATTATCTTGCCCAAATGTGTTTATTCATGTATTTATATGTCATGGTTAATGCTATGAACTTGGTCCTGGTACAATAAGTAGAGGTGAGAAGATAATAATTTACTTTGTAAGAAAGGTGTTTAAAGGAGTTTAGATAAGATATCAGAAGTGATCTTACCGGGATCAGAAGGATCTTCGTGGCCTGTAATACTTGGATTTCTGCTGTGATGAAGGAAAAGTGAGGGGGGGGGGGGTTACATGCAAGATACTCTGATGCTAAAGTAAGGTTCAAAGTGAAAGTGCAAGTATAAATTTAGAGTGAATAGAATAGTGTGAATGACCCTCTAGTGAAAGAGGGTATTTATAGCCCCTAGCGTTGAGCCAAGATCCCCATTTTAGGCTAGATGCCCAGGCCCATAATGGAGACTGCCAGGATCCTACGTGGGTAGAGGAGACCAGTTCGTGGTCTCTATCCTGGATGAATTGTCCTATGATTCTTTGAGGGTGGAAGAACTTTTATTTTCGGGGTCAGGTTGACTCTGGTATTTCAAGGAACGTTGGCCACGTGCCCTTGGCGGGCACGTGGAGGAGGCGTCATCAATGGGCACATGAAGGAGATGTCCTTGACGGGCACATGAAGGAGGCTTCCTCGACGAGCACGAGTGGGAGACACTCCCCAATGGTCATAGCAATTTGGGCCACTATAGTGGGCCTTCCTCGCAGCAGAGTTGAGCTGGACCTTGCCCGACGGTAGACTAAGCGCATGCCCAATCCAGAATAGGAGCCCCCAAAGTTATTGCTCCTAGTAGAGGTGTTATGACTTATGTATGCTCGAGCTCGCTACTGGTTGATATTCAACTTGAGCCTGGTCGATAGGGACGCAGGCATCAACTTTTAGTCCAGCACATGCAAGAGGGAATGTGATCATTCATATTAACAACCTTCCTTGCTGGTCTGTCCAGCTTGGTGAGTTTATGCGAGAAAGGAAGATGTTAACGAGTATCGTGGTCAGGAGTCAAGGTGTGCCCGTAGAGAGCGCGCCCATGATCGTCCTAGTTGTATTTCATGGGTATGCCCGTGGAGGAGAAAGTTTCTCTCGCTCGACTTTCGGGGAGTCCAAAGGTTCGATCGACAATTGCTTCCTAGGCCACTTGTCACATTATCTAATATGTAATGATT